CTCATACAGTGTGCTAGTCCTGAATGGCCAGTGATTGCCCCTCATACAGTGTGCTAGTCTTGAATGGCCAGTGATTGCCCCTTATACAGTGCGCTAGTCCTGAATGGCCAGTGATTGCCCCTCATACAGTGTGCTAGTCCTGAATGGCCAGTGATTGCCCCTCATACAGTGCGCTAGTCCTGAATGGCCAGTGATTGCCCCTAATACAGTGCGCTAGTCCTGAAGCTATTTAACAAGACTTGCATAAAACAGATAAAAAAAACCTTTTTCTAATTGTCCTTCCGATCTCTAGCACTACAGGGCTATAGTGTTTACTAAGCACTCACTTTACACTGAGTGCCTGCAGGAATGTGACCCTTCTCCAATGGAATGTCATTCCCTTTATATCCATTCTAAAGGACTTGGGGGAGATTGGCAATCAGGAGACACAAACAAACTGCAATAGCTGTGTCCTGTCCCAGCCTAATGGGCGATGGCAACCACAGACAATTAATCGATTCTATCTGTTAAGACACCCCTGGTGTCTTTAAGGGAAACTGCCGCTTAGTTAACCTTCCCCCTTCACAATATCAATAACTCCGTTCGCATAGACTGCAGTATACGAACCACCAACAGGGGAAGCGGTAATCTCCCGACCGGGATCCGTGAAAGGCTCCAAACTCCCGAACAGAAATCCACGAACCGCCGAACAAAGATATCCACCAAGCGGCTTTCGGTTCCAATAATCAGTCTCTAGTCGTCGGTAATAAATCCCCCCAATAACGAGACTACGCTCCGCATTGAAGGTCAAACAGGATCTGGCTTAACTGTGGGCTACCTGTGACGGAACGCTGGCACTCCGACTGAGTACCTCCGCCAATCGATGCTCCTAGCGCTTGCCAAGGACTCCAACCGACACCATCAGCACTGCAGACCCCACTTCCAGCGATGCAACTGCGCCGGGGTCTCTGCTGTCTCCAACCACCCTGGACCCAAGGCCAGGATCCAGCTTCCAGTGGGTGAACCTCTCTTTCCCCAGAGAGCAGGAACAGGAACAGGAACAAGCTCTTAGCAGAACTTAGTGATCATACCCTGGGGAGTATAGTGATTATAGCAATCCCCAGAGTGTATTTCTCCAATCCCCCGAGTGTATTTCTCCAATCCCCCAAACATGAGCCAAGGCTTAATGCTGGAACAAGACTGATTTACTGGCACACAGAACTCACAATTTATGCAAAACAAAACTCCTCCTCTGGGCCAGGCTAGATAATTGAGTTTCTACAATACACAAAGCTCAATTATCTGCTGGCCAGAAATAATACAGTTTCATAAAACACACAGGGACCCCAAAACATACAATAACCCCATAAAAAGTATAGTATACCACATATCCAAAATTCACCCAGATCCGTTCAGTACTTTGGAAAATACAGTTTAATGCAGATTCTGCAGAACATATACAGGCTAAATGAAAAACAATCACTGTATAATGTGTCCCCTGCTGTATAGTCCAAAACCACTGCATGATGTCTCTGTGCACCAAATACTGGCAAGATGGCACCGTGTTGAAAAGTCCAAACAGTGTCTGGGAGTTAAAATGGCCGCCATCCATTGTTCTCACCATGTGCTTCTGATACAGGAAATGGTGGCCACCCAGTAACTCCACAGTATGTCCCCAGATGGTTCTTAAAGGGCCAGCAGCAGCACAACACAAATCCATTATGCCCAAATCATGTTTTTAAAGGGCAATACATCCCAGGGGCCATAGTCACAGGGCAAGAGGCGGGCAAGCAGTCCTCTCCAGGCACAAGTGGCGAAGGGCACTTCTTCACACTACCCGCCCGTATTTATGCAGGTCTCCCACTTGGTGGACACTCGCCTAAGGGACTAAATGAGAGACTATAATTACAGATGGACATGGGGACATTACAGACATATAGTTACAACCTTTTCCCACAGTGCAGTATGGTTTCCTCCCCTCTGCCCTGGAGATAATTGAGAAGTAATTCAATTATCTCCAGGACAAAGACAAATCGCCATCTTAAATAAAATACCAGAAAACACACAAAAATATATAATTTCACAACCACCGAACACTCTGCATTCGTATCACATATCCCCAGATAGCCTGGATCTGAGTGCATATTATTAGCGAATAGCGCTCAGATCCCATACGCATATGTAACGGATGTACAGCACTCCAAACTCACGAACTGGAACCATACGAATAGCTGCTAGCAGACAAATAGGAAAAGCATCCAAGCGGCTTATACTCCTAGCAATCAGTCTCTATCAGCATTCAGTAAATCCCCCCAAAGACGAGACAAGGCTCCGTGTTGAGGGTCCAGCAGTGGTCTGTTTAATGAGGGCTACCTGCCCAGTATTTATGCAGGTCTCCCACCCATGGGAGACTGTGACAAAAGATAGACAATCAGCCAAACAGGACACACAGTCACATTATATTCCCACAATGCATCCTGGCTTCCTCCCCTCTGCCCTGGAGATAATTGAGAAGTAATTCAATTATCTCCCAAGACAAAGGCAAATCGCCATTATGCACGTGGGGATACTAAAACAAGCATTACTGTTAAAATACACATTACATTAAAACTATACATTTAACATATCTCCAGATAGCTCAGGTCTGAGCGCACATTATTAAGCGAATGGCGCTCAGACCACACAAACACAGTTCAATCGCCATGGAGCCAAAGTCTTTACAAAGCCAGCTCTCATACGAATGAGCTCCATGGGATTCCTATCTGGGGTATAATACTGAGGTAAAACTACCGAACTACCATCAAACAAGAAGGGAGGTCGGCGGCTTCAGCTGTGTTCGCGCCAAACTGTGTCCGTTTTTAGTTCCACGAGTTAAGCGCCGAACACCGCTGTGCGTTCGCGTGTTTAAAATGGCCGCGACCTCGTGTTCGTTATACGAATGGCGGCCACCCAGTATTCGTCAATTAAGCTGCGGTTAACCGCAGCTTCTGGGAGGCTAATTGCCGGCACACTCCAGCTCCCAGGTGGTCTAGTCATTCATGCGGTTGTTCGGTAGATTGAATCTACCGAACACCGGGCAGAAAAGCACGAATAAGTCTTTTCTGCAGTGGAAACAAAGTCTTTTAACATGGGGCCATAATCCAAAGGTAGCAGGCGAGCAACCAGGCTTCTCCAATGCAATGTGGCGAGATTGCTCTCATCACAGTATATATATATAGTGTGACAAACTTACTTTCCTGTGTGTGTTTGTCCAGGATCTTTTGGCAACCGCACAGCCCTCTAGGGTAAGAAAACCAGGTCAAGACAAAGTCCAGTTTCAAAAAGGCCTCTGGCCTGTTTATTTTCTGTTGTTGTGAAGTAACAGGATACAATGAATCAGCAAATCTTCTTTCTCCACAAAACACCTTCTTTCTCCTCCAAAACACTTCCCTCACTTCACCCTGCTTTAACTGCAGTTATATAGCTGCTCACAGCCCCTACAGGTGAGGCTAATGACCTCGTTAGGCAGTGAGCCAGAACTCTATGGGAAACCTGGGCTGGACTCATGCACAACCACTCTGACAGTGGGTGGAGAATCGGCCCACCCTGCTCTTCCGAATACTCCACCCCAGGGACCCAAATAACAAGAGGGAAAAAAAAACTAAATTTAAACTTAACTTTCCCTGGGGCTGCATGTGCTTACCCACATGTCAGGATAGTGGCTGTGCAAAAGTCTGGGTGCCAGATATACACCCCTGACCACCATCCCCAACACTCTGTTACAATAGTATATTGAATTATTATATTCTACCCTAATGTAACAATGCAGTTTTTGTGGACCCAGGACATACTTGAAAACGAGAGAAATCTTAATGTATCCTTCCTGGTAAAATATTTTATAAATAAATAAATAATATTTTTGCACAGGGTGCCATTCATTGGCTGCAAACAGCAGCCGTCTTCTAAATCTCTGCATCAGGAGAGGAACTAAGAGCCCAGTGGGGACAAGAGGACACACCAGGTAATCGGGAAAGGTAACCCGTACAGCGAGCTCTGGTGGCTATGATGCCTTTAAAGGTCCCAGAGATAGGAGAGATCAGAGAGAAGGTATTTTGTAACATAAGCTGACAAATAACTTAGGGTTGGGGTTAAATGAAACTATGGCAGTATATTTAGTTTCTCACAAACCTCTCCTGGGACAGGGATTGCAAGACATGCAGGGTTGTCCCATTGAGAACATTTCAATGCGCTAGTCAATGTAAAAACACTATTTCTAAACACACACAGACACACACATATACCATGACAGATGACAGACACACACACACTCCATGACAGACACACATCATGACACACACACATACCTTGACAGACACACACACACACACACACACCCACCATGACACAGACACACATCATGACAGACAAACACACACACTGACAGACTGACACATAATATAGCTGCCATAATATTCCGGCCCCGGTCTTATTAAGTAGCGCGCAAGGGCGGGGAGCAGAGACAGCACAGCTAGCTGCCGCTAGAAGAGCCAGCTTCCCCCTGCGGCCGCAATCTGGCCCTGGCTGCAGGTATGGTGTTAGTCTAACCACAACCCATCACTCACTAGGTCATGGATGTGTGGAGAAGCCAACTGTAAGGTAGAGATATGATGAGGTAGATGGTGGATGCTGTTACGGTTGCCTCCAGGCTGGCTGGAAGTTGGACCGTAGAAAGGATGCTCCTAGCGCTCACCAAAGGACCATCAGCACCGTAGACACCATAAGTACTGCGTAGAACACCATAAGTACTGCAAACTCAACGAACCACCGCTGCTGGGCTAGGATCTCGCCGTCTGCTCTATGCCCTGGACCCACGACCAGGCTCCAGGTTCCAGTAGGTGAACCTCTTCCTTCTGTAGAGCGAAGCAGGATCAGGAACAAGAGCTCTTACAAGAGCTCAGTAGCTAAGGTAGTATGAAGAGCATAGCAATCCCTGTAGTAATTATAGCTGTCCCCTACAACATGAGTCAAGGCTGCAAGTTAGAGGGTCAAGTCATTCTGTTTATTGGCACACAAAGAACCTTCTTTTATGCAGGTTTCCCTGAGATAGGACCACCCACAGGGTTTTACACAACAACCAATAATAACCGTACATTCCAGAAACACTCCCAGCAATTATACACAAAAATCCTCCCCTCTGCCTGTGATCTAATTATGGTACACAAGAGATTAACATAATTATCACAGACAGTAAAAATACAGCTTTTACCCATACCCTGTAACTTTAAAACCATACATCCAATCTTCATACAAATTACATATTTAGAATCAATCCATTCAGGGGAGCAACATATTAAAAAATGGCACAAATCAGACAAGGGGTTCAAAAGTTAGCAAAAGTATCTTTTGGGGCCTGGCTGGCAGCATGGTTATCTGGCCCAAACCGGTTTTACAGAGCCCTCTATCCAGGAGACAATGGGGAAAATAATCCACTTATATCCAGGGATAGAGGCAGACTCCATTAACCACATGTTAGCAAAAGACACAAAAAGACACAAAAATACCTAACTCCTATCATACTGAACAGAACCCCCACATTCAACCTATCCCCAGATGGCTTGGATCTGAGCGCTCAATATATCCAAACAGCGCTCAGATCCCACAAATACAGTCAAATCGCCATACACACTAGGTCCATAGTCATGGGGCAGAAGGCTGGCAATTAGGCTTCTCCATAACACAGGGAAGCAGGGCAATTTGTCAAATAAAATAACAGTTACAAATGGCAGTCTGTAACAGATGCGTTTCTAGTGTTTTTTGAGTGCAGATCTAGGTACCCTAGGTACCCTCGCTGACTTAGAAAGCTGAAAGTAACATAAGGAGTCCATATTATGATTCATAGAAACATAGAATGTGACAGCAGATAAGAACCAACTGGCCCATCTAGTCTGCCCAATTTTCTAAATAATTTCACTAGTCCCTGGCTTTATCTTATAGTTAGGATAGCCTTATGCCTATCCCACGCATGCTTAAACTCCCTCACTGTGTTAACCTCTACCACTTCAGCTGGAAGGGTATTCCATGCATCCACTACCCTCTCAGTAAAGTAATACTTCCTGATATTATTTTTAAACCTTTGCCCCTCTAATTTAAGACTATGTCCTCTTGTTGTGGTAGTTTTTCTTTTTTTAAATATAGTCTCCTCCTTTACTGTGTTCAGGCTCGGACTGGCCATCAGGCACACCGGACAAATGCCCGGTGGGCCGCAGTGGTCATGGGCCGAGGCCGGCAGGGAGATCACAGGATCTCCCCTGCCGGTCTTTGCAGGGCCGGCACTATCTGAATGCCGACCCTGCAGTAGTCCATGGCGGGCCGGTGGGGAGTTTAAAGATCTCCCTCACCGGCCCACATGCAAGATATTGTGGCCGCCGGCGGGGAGAGAGTGAGGGAGCCAGGAGAGGAACCCGGCGGAGCTCTAACTTGCAGCTCAGCCGCGTTCTTCTCGCGAGATTCGGAGCATTGCCATGGCAACGCTTGGGTCTCGCGAGAGTGAACTCTAGCCTCATAGGCTAGAGTTCACTCACCACTAGGACCACCAGGGATGGATGGCGGCAGCAGGATCCCCCCTCCCAGGCATAAGGTAAGCAGGGAGGGGGGAAATAATCACCCATGTCACATTAGCCTCACAGACACCCCTAACACTCCCAGTACCCTCACTCACACACACTGCACCCCTATCACTCACAGCACCCTCACTCACACACACTGCACCCCTATCACTCACAACACCCTCACTCACACACTCACACCAGTGGCGGATCCTGTAGAATATTGCATATTCTATGTTTCTATTGATTATATATGGATGTGTGGATTGACATAAGTAACAGATGGTATCAATAAGTCACAAGGCTTTCTTTGTCCGAGAGCTCTGGAATGTGGATGTGGGGGTCTTGTCCTTATATGGCTAGAGTTATATGCTGACGTTAGTATTAGCACATCTATATAGTAACAGAGGGACACGAGGTCGCGCTCAGTCTCGGTCTTGGCTTGGCTCTGTACAACGATGTAACTCTCCCAAAAGAAGTCCAGCAATTACCATCTGCTGTTGAATGTACACTATCCTGTAACATTTATTATGTTTTATTATGTATCCGTAACAAAGAATAAACCTGAAGAAACCGTAAGTCAGATTGCGTATTACTACTTTTCAATAATATAGACATATATTATTGTGGCGAGCATTTGGCCCAAGAATATATATATACAAAAGACGTATATATATCAATCAACTGAAGACAAGAAGAAATTAAGAAAGAGTCTACATTAACATCCATTCATCTAGTTTTTTTACATTGGCTAGCCTGCCAGTCTTCTATTCAAGTTTTGTTCCCACTTCAAGGGGGGAGAGAGAAGAATCGAGTTACAAAGCTATTTTGGAACTGGGAAAACAAACTTGAAGAGAAAAAAAGAATCTAGACTGACTATCATAGAAGAACTGTGGTTTGTAAGAAAAATAGAGTTTTCAAATCAAAGACTGTACAAGACTATTTTCTACAACTGAGACAAAAAGCACAAGATACAACGTGAATTCTAGAAGCAAGCACGTGGCAGACATTGGCAAATTTCCAGATCCAAGCAAAGAACTGCGCAGCTGTGTGGATGAAGCAACGAAATAGACAGAAATAACTGATCTGGTAAAGCGTGACAGATCCTTGTGGCAATAAATCAGGAAAGAATTCCTTCAGATAACTGGACATCGACTGTTGGAAAGAGACTTTTCATCTAATCTGCAAACTGTGATGGAAGATTCTACAGAGTTCATTCGATACAGAAGATTAACAGACTTACAAAGAAATAAAAGATTGACACTAATATATATTCCTAAATATTAACAGAAATGAAAACAGACAATGAAAAGTTATATAACAGTTATGAGTATTAATACCAAAAGAGAGTACTTAGAAAATTATGATAGGATAGTATTTTGAAAAGAACTGTTATATTATTACCTATACATAGAATGAGAAGTATCAGAGGAAGATAAAATATGAAGTTGATAAAATAAGGATCATGGTTACTTAATATCACAAAGATTGAGTTCAATAGTATTTCATAGATTAACTATAATGAGTAATTTGTTTATATTGAGGTGAAGTAAAACAAACAATGGTAACATAAGGAAGAAAACTAAGGAAGGATAATTTATATTGATTAATATTAAGTAATTAAATACATTAAAGAGTTCAGATATCCAAGAGGAATTGAATGGAAAGAGTATAGTACACAATTATATTTGACCTAAGTCTATAAAGGTATGGACTAGGGAGAATAGGTTTCTGGATATGATGGTATCCAATGAATACGTTGTTGTAAGTGATTTTATGATTTCCCTAAGTTTGTTAGACACAGACTAGGAATAAGAGTTTCTGGGCAGTATGACCCCAAGTTTATTTTTGTTTATTTTATTTTAGTCAGTTGAAGTGTACTAAGGAATATGGATTGGTCAGAACATTAGGACAATCCAGCTTTTAAGACGTATTACATTAATAAGTCATCACAATGCTAATGAAGAGAGTGATGCTAATGAATTTAAATTATTCTTTCCAAGTTCTTTTAAAGTAAACTATGTTTCTATTGAATTTAAAGTTTGTTACTACAAGGTGGAATTTTAGTGAAAATTATAATTATGTAAACTAAAACAAATCTATGATAGAAAGATTTCTGGGTGGAGAATTTCTAGGACAATAAGTATTGTCAACACCATGAACATTATTTGAAGAATTATTATAGAACGTCATGGTTGATAACACATCCTTTGAATGAGACTTATAAGTAGTGTTGATATATTTCAGGTAGTGAGAGCCTACTGAATATACAAATTAAATACTATGATTGTAAAGTACTGATACAATCATCACTAGGTGGTATTAATGGTATAGGAATGTAATTCATGAATACAAATGACCTAAAGATTTTAAGGTTGCTAGAAACCATATGATTCATGGAAATATAAGTGCACGGATATACAAGCAATACATGTATTAGTACTTAAGTAATATCAGGTATTGAGAATGAAAATACTATGCTATATGTGTCTGTAGGAATATGGTAGTGATACACAGTTATTATTATTTAGAAAGTTACGATCTTGATTTTGTTGTCTACAAAGACATGATTGTACCTGAGCAGGTAGATCTTTCTGATTGCTTTATTGTTTATTGGATCAACATTTGTAAATATTTTATTCATTTATTATTGTTATATATATGTATATATTATGTTCAAGTAGTTATGATGTAACATGGATATGGATATCAATACATAGCTGAAACAGAGGGAGTTTTGAAGTAAAGTAAGCAGTATGAGGGATAGAAACTCGACCTTCTAAGAACTCTCATATAATAGAAAGTTGTGACTTCATCTTGTTCTATGCTCAATGAATGTGATACAAGTGATGTATGAATGGACAGGTTAATTACATTGTGTTATGGTTTTAAAACAAACCATAAACAGAGGGAATGTAGAATATTGCATATTCTTTGTTTCTATTGATTATATATATGGATGTGTGGATTGACATAAGTAACAGATGGTATCAATAAGTCACAAGGCTTTCTTTGTCCGAGAGCTCTGGAATGTGGATGTGGGGGTCTTGTCCTTATATGGCTAGAGTTATATGCTGACGTTAGTATTAGCACATCTATATAGTAACAGAGGGACACGAGGTCGCGCTCAGTCTCGTTCTTGGCTTGGCTCTGTACAACGATGTAACTCTCCCAAAAGAAGTCCAGCAATTACCATCTGCTGTTGAATGTACACTATCCTGTAACATCCTATATTATGTTTTATTATGTATCCGTAACAAAGAATAAACCTGAAGAAACCGTAAGTCAGATTGCGTATTACTACTTTTCAATAATATAGACATATATTATTGTGGCGAGCATTTGGCCCAAGAATATATATACAAAAGACGTATATATATCAATCAACTGAAGACAAGAAGAAATTAAGAAAGAGTCTACATTAACATCCATTCATCTAGTTTTTTACAGATCCAGAGTCTGATCTCAGGAGGGGCACTTGTAGATTATGTGTCGAGACCAATCTCGCCACATTGTATTGGAGAAGCCTGGTTTCTCGCCTGTTGCCTTTGGATTATGGCCCCATGTTAAAAGAATTATTTTCCCCTGCAGAAAAGGCTTATTCGTGCCTTTCTGCCCGGCGGTCGGTAGATTCAATCTCCCGAACTAACACACGAATGACTGGGTCACCTGGGAGCTGGAATGTGTCGGCAATTTACCTCCCAGAATCTGCGGTTAACCGCAGCTTAATTGACGAATGCTGGGTGGCCTTTGTTCGGTTGCCGAACACGTGGCGGCGGCCATTTTAAAGTCCCGAACGGCCAGCGGTGTTCAGCGCCCAAACTGTGGAACTGTAAACGGACACTTATTTGCGCGAACACCGCTGAGCCGTCAGCCTCCTTGCTTCTGCATTTGGTCAGTTAACCGAATGCCTGTTTGTAACGGCGCCCTCAGCATAAAAGGGTTAAACCGCCATTTAGTAGATCTTCCCCTTCCAGAGACATAGGCACAGCTACTGCAGAACACCAACGCGCCGAACAGGAAGCCATACGAATGCTGTAAACATCCGAATAGGAAAAACCATACGAATAGGTTTACACTCCTAGCAGTCGAACTGGAACAGCATACAATAAATCCCCCCAAGAATGAGACAAAGCTCCGTGTTGAGGGTCAAGGAGTGAACAGTCAGAGCTGTGGGTTTATTGTGCTTATGTACACATTCTTACACATTAGTACCACCCACAGGGTTTTGGAACAGAACCAATAAACACATACAATACACTCAGACACTCCCACACAAATTCCTCCCCTCTGCATGTGATTCAATTACCTTACACAATGGGTAATGTAATTTAGCACAAGCAGAGAAATAAAATTTTTCCACATTAGTCATAACTTGAAAAGTATGCATCACATTCACATACATTTTCAGAATCAGCATACTCCAAATACAAACATACGTCAAAATCATACAAATTGGTCCAGTGGTTCAAAAGATAGATCGTAGTCCTTTGTGACCACAGGAAGCATGGCTTTTCTGCCCAAAACCAGTTCCACAGAGTCTTCTATCCTGGAGATAATTAGAAGTAATCCAATTATCTCCAAAGACAGAGGCAAAACTCCATTGAACACATGGCAGCAAAAAGACAGTAAAATATAATAAAATACACAAGGTTACATTTATGACATAAAATACAGACATGCAACATATGCCCAGATAGCTTAGGTCTAAGCGCACATTATTACTGAATGGCGCTCAGAGCACACACATACAGTTCAATTGCCATGGAGCCAAAGTCTTTCCCATAGTCTTTCATTATGCGAATGGGCTCCATGGCATAGCTATCTGGGGTATCACTGCTCAAACAGGGCAAGCACCAAATGACCCGGCTTTCTTGTCTTTGCAGGGGAAAATCAAGCCTTTTAACATGGGGTCATAATCCCAAGGCAACAGGTGAGCAACCCGGCTTCTCCAATGCAATGTGGCGAGATTGGTCTCGTCACATCTCTCCCCTTTTCCAAACAGACTAACAGGGTATCTGACCTCCTGCCGGTCAGTGCCCTTGTTAGTCCAGCAGCCCACCCACAAAACACAATCAACAGCACAGCCCACCCACAATAAATGGTTACTACACCTGGGTAGGGGAGAAGCTTGTCCATGTCCAGGTGCCTCACCACGGCTGTGCTGGGTACGGGTATGCTGACTTAGTGGGTTGCTGCGTGGGCAGAGACCAGCGGTACTCTGCCCTGTTGCCAGCGCTACTGGGAGGGTAGCCTGGTTAAAGCCTGGTTGTTGGAGTGGGAGACCGACTGTCTCCCCTTTAGATATACAGCCCTGCTGCTGGAGACCGACTGTCTCCCCTTTGGCTAAACAGCCCTGTCGCTGGGGGGCAGAACCGACCGTCCCTACCCCCTGTGCTGGATGTGCAGAGACCACGGTCACATCTGCACAGTTGTGGGGCTTACTGTCTCCCCTCCCACTGGAGTAGGAGGAGTTTGCCATTACTGCTGGAGAGGGAGCTGCTCTGTGCTTCATCTGTGTGTTACCAGGACCACACCCGTTTGTGGCTGCTTTGGAGCTTGATTTCTGGGCTTTGGAATTACTACAGCAAGGGGCTCTGCCTGGGCCTAGGCAAGCATGGCCCTCGGGCCTTCCTCCCCAGCCTGGGGATGGAAGGTCAGGCTGGACGAGCTGCAGGCAGTGCTGGCTTTTGGGGAAGGTAAGGCGGATACCAGGGGCCTGTCTTGGACTGAGCATCAGGCCCTCTCCCGGCAAATACGAAACCAGGTCTCCCTGTTGGAGGAACTGGCGGGGGGGATGTCTAGGAAGCTTACAGCATGGAAAAGGGAAGTGGGGGTCCCCCAGGGAGCTACGGCCCACACCAGGGCCGATATCCAGCTGCTCTCTGGGCTGCTGGCTGAGTGCCGTGAACTTGCCAGCAGTGGCCTCCACTTCCTAGAACAGCCCCCCCCGTCCCTGGAGGTGGGAGAGGGTACCGAGGAGGAGGTAGTCCCTGAGACCCCCCCTGAGGTGGCTAGTGCCAGCAAGACCCCTCAGGCCTCCCTCACCTATGCTGAGGCTGCAAAGGGTGAGGGGGTTGAGGCTAGGGTCTTTATGGGGCTACCTTCTGACAGGCTCCGGGGTCTGCTTGTGTCCCTGAAGGCCCAGCATGCCGAGGCAGACTCTGGCCTAGCTGGGGTCCAGGCAGAGCTAAGGGAGCAGAGGGAAAAATCAAACAGGACCTCTAATTACAAAAGAGGTCCTTTGAGGGCCGCTATAGCTGAGAAAAAATTAGTGGAGCAGCATCTATCCTACACCCTGCTCCAGACTGAAAAGAAAATAGCAGACATCCAGGCCATCCTGCAACAGAGAGCCAAGGACGCTGCGAGGTCCAGGAGGCAGAGGGCTATGGAGGGCAGGAGGGACATGTCCCCAGGTGAGGAGTCCAGCAAGGACTTGGATTCCAACTCCCATCACTCACCTGGGGAGCCGTCTACCTCTGCCCTTGCTACTCCAGGGGGCGCTGCTGAGACGGAGGGGAAGGCCAGAGAGAAGGACAGTGAAGAGGAGTGGGACGGAGAGAAAGGTGAAGAGTGGCAGCTGAAAGTGCAGGACAGAGGTCGAGGGCTGATTAAGGAGTCTCTCCTCAAGTTTGGAAACGAACTTGGGGAGGACTCCGTAAAGGACAAAAAGAAGAAAAAGAAGAAAAAGAAAAACATCGCCCGGCGTCAGCCTGAGACCTCTGTCAGGGGGTCTGGAGATTCCACAGAGGAGGGTGAGTGCTCAAATGCTGAGTATATGTACAATGATGATGTTCAGGCCTTGCAGAAGCCTGGGGCCAGGGATACTAACCCTGCAGGTGGCAACACCTGTATGCCCCAGAAACCTGCACAACCTGCTTCTGTGGAAGTATCTGGGCCCCCCGCCGCCCTCCATGGTGACAGGGAGACCATCCCCGCCGGTACTATGGCGTGTACCGGTGATCCCATGGAGGGGTCCTTCCCTTGCTCCCTTCCCACTCCCTCCCTTACCTGCCTTCCCTCTGACCTTCCTCTCCGTGTGGTTGCGTCCCCTGGAGTGGCTGGTACCTCTGCCTCCTGTCCTCAGGCGGCTGCTGGGCAGGATGGCACTGGATGGAGCAGTCTGGAGCAGGGTGATGGCCCTCCTTTTCCCTCTGCTCCCTTGGAGCAAGCTCGACTGCTCTCCCTACCAGCAAGTCTCCTCCCCTGTTTGTCCCCCAGTCTGTTTCCCTGGATGTGTCCAAGTTTGTCTTCCAGTCTGTTCCCCCTGCTTCCCTATGTGTTCCCCTTATGTCTGAATGTGTAACCAGTCCCCCTGTTGTTCCTGTTGTTCCTGTTGTTCCTGTTGTTCCTGGTGCCGCGGGTGCCGCTGGCGCTATGGAAGACAGGACTGCAGGGGACTCCCATCATCCTCAGCCAGCAGTCCATACTGAGGAAACCGCCAGTGGAGGTAAGAAAAGTATGACTAACATTGTGTTTGACTCCACTGGTGGTTTAGGGATGGCTGAGGAGGATGGGAGTATGGATGTAAATGTAATGATGGGACCTATTGGCCTTAGTAAAAAGGTCCACAGCCAGCCTGTTTGTATTAATGATGTTGCCCCTGCCCCTGGTGTTGTTGCCCCTGCCCCTGGTGTTGTTGCCCCTGCCCCTGGTGTTGTTGCCCCTGCCCCTGGCGTTGTTACCCCTGCCCCTGGTGTTGTTGCCCCTGCCCCCGGTACTATTGCCCCTGGTGTTGTTGCCCCTGCCTCTGGTTATGTTGCCCCCGCCCCCGGTACTATTGCCCCTGCCCCTGGTACTGTTTCCCCTGCCCCTGGTTATGTTGCCCCCGCCTCAGGTTATGTTGCCCCTGCCCCTGGTTCACTGGAGTTAGTTGGTACACAGGTGGCGGGCACGAGCACGGGCACAGGCACCCTGACAAAGGGTGCCGCGGTTATAAATAGTTTAGACGCACAAGCAGGTACACGGGTTCCCCTTAGGCACTCCCAGGTTGTCACCCAGGGTTCTGGTGTGACCGAGGCCTCTGGTTCAGCGAGGGGAGTCCGTCCGAATCATTCCCAGACGGCGGGTCCCGGTGCGCCCCCAGGTCTGCACAGGGTACAAAGTGGGCAGGATTCACCGCTGTGGCCATTTCTCGCCAGGGTCTTAAGAAGGTCACTTTCCTGGTGAGAAATGAATCCATCCCCATAGCAGACATCCTTGTTTGGACTAAGAGGTTTGGGGATGTTAAATCCCCCCCTGTTAAGATCTTAGATGAGGATGGGATTTGGACAGGCGGATGGACTGTTTCAGTGTTGCTGCGGGAGATTCGAGGTGTCACACAGCATATGCCTAATAGTTTTTTCATCGGGGCTGACCGGGTATCCTGTTTTTACCCTGGTCAGCCCAGGGTATGTCACAAGTGCGGATCGTACAGGCATTACAGCATTGCCTGTACGGTCCTCAAATGCACTATGTGCGGCGCTGTGGGGCACCTCCGGGACAGCTGCAGGGAGATCCGGTGTCATCTGTGTTCAGAGATGGGTCACACGTACCGCACCTGCCCCGAAGCCCAGCACAATGTAGAGTCCATCTGGAGTCAGGAGCCGGTGGAGATGGACTCTGCTGGGTTAGGGGTTCAGGTAGCATCGTCATCTACAAGGCCCATCTCTGGCACAAGGGTTTCCCTGACCCAGCAACAACCCATCCTCCCCTCGGTCTCTGTAACATCTCAGGACCCTGGGAAGGCCACAAGTTCACGTCCCCTCACGAAAAGTGTACGTAGAGAACGCACCACCTCCACAGCCATTATGGCTCCCCCTAGACCCCCTCCCCCTAGGCCCCCCCTCCTAAATTCTCCACGGTAAAGGTTACCCCCACTGAAAAATCCCCAGATGCACGTCCCTTAGATGCACAGTCCCTAGAGTGGAGCACGGTGAAAGGTAAGAAACCCCCCCCCCTCCAAGACCTCGACGCTGCCCTCACCCCGGAAGATCGCCATACCCCCTGCGGCGAAACCCCCGAAAGGGGGAGACGCCACTTATAAGGGTGGTGTGGCACGGGCGTCATCCTCCTCTTCGGGCTTGCAGGAGGCCCCGGTGCCCGTATCTAACAGGTACGAGGCACTGTCCTCCAGCTGGGCCGACTGTGAGTACGAGGAGGAGATGGCGAACCTCCCCGAGGTGGTGGCAGGGGTTGAGGTGGGACAGGAGGTGCTTCTGAGAGACGACGGGCCACTGTATCCCGGAGTCTCAGTGAAGAGGTTCCTCGGTTCCGACACGGAGGAGGAGGGGTACCGCAGAAGGAAGGGAAAGTCTCCTTATACTTAATGCCCTTATGGCGACTTTTCCTGTACTCTCTGTGGCTACGGTGAATGTAAACAGCATTAAGTCCAGCAGGGCCCGCTTTTTGGTTTACGACCACCTCAGCCGGGCTCCGTACAATGTCATCTTGGTACAGGAGACCCGGCTGGAAACCCTCGCGGCCCTGCACGCTGCAAAGCGGGACTGGAGATGGGGGCCCTCCTACTTCTCTCTAGCCACAGAGAGATATGGGGGAATCGCCATCCTATTTAAGGACGTTGATGTTAGCATCAACAGGGTTATTGAGTTGCAAAAAGGACGGTGTGTGGTTTTAGATGTCTCAATGGGCAGGCAACCTTTCAGGATAATTAATATCTATGGCCCCCAATCTAAGTGGGAGAGGAAGCGCCTGTTTATTGAGATAGAGCCTTACCTTTATACATCCCAGCAAATCCTGTTTGGCGGTGACTTTAACACCATAACTAGGCCTCAAGACAGGAGAGACGCCACTCAGAGGCTGGGGTATGACTCCTATTTTTTAAATAAGATGGTTAGTCAGGCTGGATTGGTCGATGTGTACCTTCATCACACTCCCAATCCCACGGGTGGGTACACTTATCACAGAGGTAGCTGTCAGAGTAGGATAGATAGGTTTTTCTTTAAGGAGAATTTCCCGGTGGCGGCACCCGTGCTTACACCGGTGGAGTTCTCCGACCATCACATTTTGTCTTGCGAGTTGAACGTCTATAGTACCCCACCTAAGGGTAGAGGGATCTGGCGGCTAAATTCAGACCTCCTGGTGGAACAGAGGGTTCAGCAAGCCTTCATGGAATTCTTTCACGATCAGATGACATTGGCCGACTTAGGCCAAATGAAGTCTGAGTGGTGGGAGATGGTGAAGGCCAGAACTCAACGGCTGTTTCACAATCTCGCCCGGAACATGCAGTCCTCCAGGTACAAGATGTATCTGGGCTTGCTTGGGAGGTTAGACATCCTGATCTCGCAGGGAGGTGACCCCGAGGACATTGCGGCAGTTAAAAACCTGATGAGGAGTTATCAGTATGACAGGTACGCCTCCCTTGTAAAAGAGAGAGATCATGGGTCATACCGCTCGCCCGATCCTTATCTTAGCTGCAAGCGGAAGGAAGGTACCAAGTCCATCCCTAGTCTGCGGGGCACCGACGGGACCCTAGAGGAGTCTCCTCGCGGGATTCTGAAGGTGGTCCGCGACTACTATATTGAGCTCCTCGGAAAGGGCAGCCCCCAATGTAGCGAGGAGGGAACCTCCCACGGGAGAAGGGTGGATGACTTCTTGAGCGAGCTCACGCTCCCTGAGCATAGCGACCTCTCTTTTGACGAGTTGGTCAGCGAGATCACCATAGAAGAGGTCACAGAGAGTATCCAACAGCAGAACAAGTGTAAGTCGCCAGGTCCTGATGGTCTGACGGCCGAGTTTTACCAACAGTTCTGCGACCTCTTGGCCCCTCATCTGACCGAGGTGTTTAATGAGAGCTTGGCTCAAGGATTATTGCCACCCTCGATGAGGACTTCTGCCCTGATCTTGCTGTCCAAGCCGAACGTGCTCGACACAGCGGATGTGGGGAACTGGCGCCCCATATCCCTGTTAAATGTCGACAGGAAGGTCCTGGCAAAGATTTTGATGAAACGAGTACAGGGCCTAGCGAGGCGTGTCCTATCCACCTCCCAGTACTGTTCAATCGAGGGCAGAACTGTCTTTGATGCCGTTTTCGAAGTCAGGGAAGCCCTCGAGAAGTGCAGGGACGGAGAAAGGGGGATATACCTTCTGGCACTTGATCAGTCCAAAGCTTTTGATCGAGTAGATCACCGTTGTCTGTGGTCAGTCTTGCGGAAGTATGGCTTGCCGGGAAAATTCGTCAATTGGATAATCACCTTGTACAGAGGGGCCGAAAGCTTCGCTCTTGTGAACGGGTGGAGGGGCAAGACGTTTAGGATCCGATCCGGGGTCAGGCAAGGTGTTTGCAGTCGATCCCTTCATCCGAAGGGTCGAGGCAGGCACGTTACAGGGAGTGGCCAGGGCTCCGGAGAGGCCTTTACGGGTTGTTGCCTACGCTGATGACATCTCCATAGTGGTCTCCAATACTCGGGAGGCCACGGAGGTGGATGATTTAATCCTAGCGTATTCTGCCGCTTCAGCCTCTCGTGTCAACAGGGACAAGAGCGTAGTTTTCTGGTGCGGGAAGGAGGGGGACCAGTTCCCTCTTCCAGACGGTTTCCCGAGGGCCCAGCCTGAAATTAAGATCTTGGGGGTGGTGTTCGGACCAGGGGATCTGGCTCTCAGGAACTGGACCGAACGGCTTGCCATAGCTTCTAGCAAGGTGGAGGAGAGCCACAGGTGGAAACTGACGTTCAGAGAATGGGTGAACCTAATCAAAACCTATGTTCTGACCGTATTCGGCAACGTCAGTAACATCTTCCTTTTGCCCAGGTCCCTCCACGCTCGGATGTTTGCGCTGTTCTTCCGCATGTTGTGGGGGAACAGGCTGAACCTCATCAAAAGAGAGGTCACTTACCTGGCCAGAAAGGACGGGGGTCTGGCCATGGTCAACCCCATCGTCCTTTTAACTAACAACTTCCTTAAAAGGAACTTTGGGGCTCTCCTGAAGGATGAGCAGCCTGTCTGGGTATGTATATTCAGGGAGTGGGTCACACCTTTCCTGGTGGACTGGTTTCAGGGTGGGAGGGTGAAGAGCATGAGAGTTCGGCATTCTAGCTATCTTCCGTCTTCGGTCATCGAGGGAGTGGGAATTCTGCGCAGGTGGAACGTCACGGTGGAGGAGGTTCGGGACACTCCCAAGAAGCTTCTCGACGGGAGGGTCCTGGCCACCCACTTTGGCATTCAGCTTGCTTTGAAGGACTGCCCGCCAAGTACTCTCGCCTCGGGGTTGAAAAACATCAACTCCAGGCGCCTTCCGGAGAAATACCGAGACGTGGCGTTTCTCTCCTTCCACGGTAGACTTTACGTTCGAGGGAACTTGAAGTACAGGAACATAACGGATCGTGGTTGTCCTCGGGTGGAATGTTCCGGGGAAGTGGAGTCCATGGACCACTTCCTCCTCGAGTGCCCCTTTAACGTACAGGTCTACAAAGAGGTCTCAGCCGCCTTAGGCATCCCCTGCTTATCCCGCTGGACTTATGCGGAGTGGGCGTACGGGACATCCAACTCAAGGGGGAGGGCTTTTGATTTGGGCACTCTTTATGGAGTCAGTTCAGTGGTTAAGTATTTCACTTGGATGGCAAGGTGTCAGGTTTCCCTTCAACGTAAAGACCTTTCCTGTCAGGTGGTGGTAGCAGACATTCTGAGGGCGGTTCGTGGGATCTATACCACCGAAAGGGCCTCTATGGATCCCACCATTTGGCAGCGTTTGTGGCGAAATCTCAAGGTCCATCCACCTTGAACCGCTCCATGGGCGCCCTTGTCTTGGTGAAGGGAATTCCAAATCTGTCTTCACCTTTCCCCCGTAGATTTTGAACTGGTTTTTCTTTTCATGGAAGGCTGCCACCTTTAGCAGACGAGTACCTTCCTCTGCGTCTAGGTAGTGCAGTGTAGTTAGGTTATGGTTATGGTTATGGTTATGCACAGGTTATTTTTGGTATTGTTTGGGTTAGGGTGGGTTTCTGGTGTATGGACAAATTGAAAAATTTACTTTGGGTGGGGAAAAAAAAAAAAACACTGGATTTCTTTATGGACGGAGGGATGGACTCCTTGAGGGTGGTGTACAAACTGGATTTCATGTGGGTGGTGGGTCTATGGAGAAAAATTTGATTTCATGTGGGTGGTGGGTTTGGATGTGATGAACTGAGAAAAGGACTCCATTTGGGTGGTGGGTTTGGGGGATGGACGGAGGGATAGACTCCATGAGGGAGGTGGGTTTTATGAATTGAAAATGGACTCCATTTGGGTGGTGGGTTTGGGTTTAAAGTTTGGGTTTAAAGTGTAGGTGGTGGGTTGGTGTTGACGGAGGGATGGACTCCATGTGGTTGGTGGGTTTTATGAACTGAGAAAAGGACTCCATGTGGGTAATGGGTTTGTTTATGTTTATGTGTGTATTTTATTTCACGCTTGGTTTATGTTTGTGTTTAGCTGGCTGTGGACTCGAGGTCAATTGGGTCCCCCCTTGTCCCCCCTTGTTATGTAAGAGCTCCTTCAGGAGCATTTCAGCCTTTTTTCTCCCTCCCCAAGGCTCCATGAAGTAATGGAGCCCCCGGCCTTTTAATTTATCCCCTTATGATTTAGTTCCCCCCCTTTTCTGTTAATCCCTCTCCCTGTTATTCCCAGTTATTTAATTTGGTATAAGTTTACTCCCCTATTAGTGCCCCTTCCTGAGTTTTTATTTCGGTATTTATGTTTCATTTGGTATTATGTTTGAATTGGGCATTATTTCAGTTGATTGTTTTTTATTGTTATTTTGTTATTTATTTTGTTATTCTGTTTAATTTTGGAAGCATTTTACAAACTAAATAAAATAAAATACTGTCTCCCCTGGGTACATTAAGCTGCTGCT